TTTCTTGAGGGATGCACTGCAATTTTCAGCTCAGAAGCAGCTGGCCCTGTGATAATCCAAATACTGCTTCACAAGATTAGCCTTTGATTTTTCTCTTTCCTTGGGAAAAAGAGAAATCCTTTTATAGACACTTTTCCAAACTCAAACGAGGTATTTTTATCTATCCATAGCTCTCTCTACCTTTATACTTGCACCTAATGTTTAAAATACTGACAAATTAGGTCTGGATCTCTGATTTTTACTGTCAGAATGAAATAATGAGTCTCATCTTCTCAGTGTAAAAAGCATACATCATTCGTTTTTTGGAAATAATTTACTACACTGCTCCTCAGTGGCCACTTAAGAAATAATTGCTCCATTGCACAAAATGGGGTAATTCACCTCCAGTCACCCAAAGGAAGTTTTCAGCAGAACTTCTAAAAAGCAACAGTTCTGAAACATACAACTTTGAGACAACAGCTGGCTACATAACAGGGGTCTTCACATTTTTAGCTAGATGTAATTGTAATATAACATGGAAACCACGCACAAGGTTTAGTACATTATTGATATTCCATTTTTTTCCTTCTAAACTTCAGATAAGGCTGACATGAAAACAGGATCTCATATCTCTGTTCTTATCTATGTGGTAGCTTCAATTCAAAGAGTTCTTAGTTTTTCTGAATTGATACACATCTGAAAAAAACAGAAACTAGGCCTAGGCAAAACATAGTATTAGGTTCTCCAAAAGAAATGGAGAACATTTGATACATTTGTTCACTATATAGCTCCAATCATAAAATACTTTATTTAATCCTCACAGTGACCTGTGAAATACTAACGTCCTTATGAGGAAAATGAGGCTCAGTGAAGTCATAAAAGTAGTAGAACTGAAATGTATTTGTCTTTCCGTTGCTTATTTTTCTTAAAAGGGATAATTAGAAAGCTGAAATAACTAAACATTAAATTCAGTTGCTTTGAGATACATGGTACCCAACTGTCCCCATATTTATTGGCACTAGAAACTGGAAAACCTTAAATGATAAGCTGAAGCATTTAGATTTATGTTAATTTCTTCATTCATACATAATTATATTTAATGAGTATCTTCTATATGCTAAATACTTCCAAAACAAAAGTAACTAGTTAAATATTTAATTCTGAAACAACCCACGACAGCTCAGAAAGGTAACTGATCCAAACTGGCAGTGAAAGAGTGGGGCCAGGAAACAAAGAGAACAGCACCACTACAGAGCATGCTGTTTCCTCTACCAAGGAGATAAAAGGTAAACAGAAAAAAGGTAAATGTTTTGGAGGAATCCCTGTGGGAACTCTTAAGAAGGATACTTACTAGCTCGAGGCCATAAGTACGGCTGGGAATTAGGAAGGGGGTCAGGAAAGGTTCTTAGAAGAAGGTAGTAATTCAGCTAAGGAGGACTTAATCAGGCAGAGGAAGAAGGGAAGGTTGTTTAAGACAAAGGGAAGAGCATGTGTAAAAGGGAAATCAAGTGAGAGAATACAGGACATTTGAGAAACTCTAGCAATAAAGTTCAAAATGGTTAGAGTCTAATGTATATGTAGGATTAAAAGGAAGTAATACACATTAAATGGAAGAATCAACATATTGATCAAAAAAAAACACGGAAATTATTCTGGCAAAAGGAAAATCAATGGAACTATTTACTCAGAACAAAACTGTAGTGAAAAAGATAAGAATGAAACTGATGAAACCAGGATAAGCCGTCAAAAGGACCAACTGTAAGACTAAACTATTAAACTCAAACTGAAAGAAGAGAACTTGAACTCTTGAAAAATGGTCAACTGGAGTTATTGTCTGAATTGGGGTCTTTGTTTTATTAAGCAAAGATCTATGAAATTGCACAGTTTTTGTGGATATGATCTGGGAAGTGGGAAGATGGCTGGAACCCGGCTTTAGTAGAGGACACTGCTTTTAAAACAGCTTTAATACCTACAGGGAAAGAATAAGGGAAAGAGAATCTTATTGTTTTAGGATACTCTCATAAGAAATCTCCAAATCAGAGGATGAATCAATGGTAGGTGAAGCTTAAAGGAAAAAATAATTATAGCAGCCAATTAAGTCCTCACCACCAGACAGAAGACACATCTGATGTTTTATTTAAAAAACTGGCACAGAAACACAAGACTGGGAATTTTAACCATCTGGACTTCTGAAAGTATTATTATATTTTACATTAAGGCAAGTGATAAATTAAATGCCTTATTGAGAATCAAGGCTGCCTTTTAGTCCAGTGCTATTTTTACTTAATTCTTTTGATCATTAAGAGCATTAAAGATGAACTACAATAAATCATATAAAGAAATTTAGCTTAAAAGAAAGACATTAGAAAATCTTAACAGCATAACGGATATGAAAAAGACCTGTGGTTTTCAATTAACTCTATAAACCGACTATACGCCTACAAAGAAGTCAGAATGTGGCAAAGAGTCTAGTGAAGAATTTGGACAGTATGTCCATGAAACGAATAATTGAAAAAGGTGAATTTATGCTGAATTAGGAGAAACTTTGTACAGGTGGGTGGTTGGAAGGTAAATCCATGATAAGTCGATGAGGTCTTAGAAATAGAAGAAGGACTCTATTATGTTGTAGTGAGCTGAATGGTGGCCCCCAAAAATTATGCCCGTGTTCTAAGACCCAGAACTTGTGAAGGACCTTATTTGGAAACCTTTTTACATCTTTGCAGATGTAGAGTCAGTTAAGAATCTGAGTGAAGGAGATCATCTAGGATTATATGGGTAGGCCTTAACCTCCCAGCAAGTGTCCTTACAGAAGACACACAGAAGAGAAGGCGAGGTGAAGATGGAACCAGAGACTGGAAGGATGTGACCACAAGCCTAAGGGGCCTAGAAGCCAGCAGAAATGGAACAGATGCTCCCTAGAACCTCTACAGGGCATGCAGCACTGCCGACACCTTGATTTTGAACTTTAGGCCTCCAGAACTGTGACGGAATAAATTTGTGTTGTTTAAGCCACAGGTCTGTGGTAATTTGTGACGGCAGCCCTATGAGTCTAATACATTGATTGGAGGTTAGATTTCTGTGCCAAACAGGGTAAATGTAAACATGAGACTAATGGATTATGCATGGGGCAGATTTGGGTGCACTTTAAGTTACAGGCATTTTATTATACCTGCCCATATTTTAACAAGTTAGTTACCGTCCTACATGGATGTAAAAAGGGTAATTCTACATCTGGGAGAATGACTTAGTGCTCTCTAAAGACCCTTCCCATTCTAAGATTCTATGTGTATCAATAATAGTTAATTCAAACTTGGGGATTTATTATTATTTAATATTTAGTGGTAATGAAATCATACATTGGTAAGTTAAAAACTCATCATCCTGTATAAAATCAGAACAGAAGGATCTTAATTCATAAACATCCTAATGATGACTTCATACTGAAACCTTCACAGGCATTTCAGATATATCTAAACATAGGCTAGGTCTATGAGCATAGGGCCAAGTTTTGGTTCAACATTATTTTAGGCTCCAACTAGACAATGGAAACTTCATAAAGGAGCAATTTAAAAAAGGTACACTTACCCATTAATTTGCTTTCCAATTTAATGGACAATTGCTTCATGAAGGTTTTGCTAAACAGTTAACATAATTTCACACTGGTTTTAAGTGGAGTCTAGTCACATTAGTAATAAAATGAGATGAATATGGGCTAACACTTTGGAAACAAAATAATGAGGGAAGATTCTGAAAACATTCTTTTGAGGTGGGCCTAAGTTTTGACATGTAATAAAACTTACTAAGCCAGACTGCTTATAAAGATACAACAAAATAACAGACTTCAATCATCTGTTACACAATGCTGGAAAGAAGTATAAAATACCAGATTCATCTAGCTTCATCAGAACTCTGAGTTTTAAAATAGCAGTTAAGATGCAAAACAGAAAGAACAAGTGGCAATTAATAACTTTATATAATTGAGTCTTTTAAATTCTAAACTTATATATATATAAGTTTACCTGTTCTGTTTCAAAGATGTCCCGAAGGTGTTCAAGACCAAGGCTTTTCAGAAATTGGCTGATATTCATGTCAAGACCCGCAACTAAAACAAACATATATTAAGGCTTTTCAGAAAGAAGCTTATCAATCTAAAGGAAGTTCCTTAATGTATTTAAAGCCATGGCTCCCTGGCACCCCTGGCTGTGCAGATGGTTTCTTATAGAGTAAAATAATCCATAATACATAAATTAAACTCACACACTTCAAATTATCTCTGAATTTGGTGGGGACGTAAAAGCTGAGTTTATCTTATCAGTAGAATTTATATTAATATTAAAAAGCATAATATAATGCTTTTAGTGAAATATTTAACAGTTGGATTTAAAAATTCAAATTTACCAGCTGTTGTTTCAGTTTTTATTTCTTACATAATCTCTCAATTTTTCTGATATAATTTCAGTAATAAGACTTGGGAGTTTAAGCAGACAGTATGGTTGGACAAGAATGGACTGGGATACACATGAGTAAGAACAAATGTAGATGGCAAGGTATTTATTCTGTGAAGACCTATTTCTTACAAACTGTTGTGTGTATGAAAACTCATATATGGGATGTCTCTACATTAGGTGTTTGCTAATTACCAATAGAAAAAAGTGAATCTGTTCATTTAAAATACCAAAACCAAATACGTGTTCACAGGGTTACTCGCCTTCTCCTTCCTTCCTTTCTGCTCCCGCTGCACCATCCGCAGCGTTGGCCGCTCCTCCTACCGCCAGTTCCGCTAAGGGGCCGGTGAGGTTGTCTATGCTGCTGGCAGCAGACAGGCAGGAGGGAGTGGATGCTGGTGAGATCAGAGAGGCACTCACTACAGTAGCCTGAGGTTTAAAACAGGTAGGTAAGGCCTCTGGGGGCATGGCGTCTATCAGCAAAGCTCTGATATCATCAGCCTAAAAATGATAACAAAAAAACACACAAAAAATTACATTTTAAATTGGTAAGTTTTTCACTAAGGACCAAACACTTGGTGAATTATCTCTTTAGTGAATGCTTCATTATTCCGTACTGGTTTCTGATCATTCCTTCGTTTTTCCTTCTCTGATCCAGAGTTCCCATAGAGTCCCCATAGTTTCAGTACATATGGAGAAACTGCAATTTTTTAAAAATACTTCATCTTTTGAAGATGTAATGTACAGCTTGGTGACTATAATTAATAGCCCTGTATTATTGTCTTGAAATTTGCGAAGAGTAGATCTTAAGTGTTCTCATTACACACATACAAATTAACTATGGAAAAAAAAAGTCCAAGAATGTAAACTATGTTGATTCCTAGAAACACTTTTAACATTAAATGAAAAGTGTACACACAATTGTTCATTACTAACTACAAATATATTCAAAGGATATATAAGTTAATAAAGATTTGAATAGAGTTAAATAAAATATTTCATCTTTCATCTAAAAAAAGCACATTTCAGAATGTTGACACTCAATCTCTTCTTTAGGAGTTTCCATACTTACTATGTTTTGTTTACATTTAAACAATTAAAATAATTTTTGTTCAGTTATTTAGCACACACTCAATAGTTTAATGTACAATTAAAATCTGGTGAAATTTTAAAGGGCTAGTGCTTTAATTTGGCTAGCTCATTCATGAACTCCACAGCCACTATTAGAGTATGTGGGAGGTAGCCAGCCATCAGTTCCTTCCTCCGGGTACATCGTGCCTCTCCTCCCATCAAAAGGTGGCATCTATCTCCCTTCTCTTGAATCTGGGTTGCCTGTGAGTTGCTCTGACTGATGGAATGCAGAGGAAGTGATGTTCTGAGGCTTCTGACCTAGGCTTTAAAAAGGACTGGTAGCTTCTACTTTTTCAGAAATCCTCCTCCATGCTGTAAAGTTTGGACTGGGCCACTGAGTGTGAGACACTGTGCAGAGAGAGGCCCTGGAGGACTTAAGGCCATCCTAGACACCACGGCCTGAGCTGAGCTCCCAGCTCCAGGGAGCTGCATGAACAGCAGAACTGCCTGGCTGAGCCCAGTCAACCCAGAGAACTGTAAGAAATTATACATCACTGTAATAAGCCACTCACTTGGTTTTGGTTAAGCTACGAAGTGTTTTGAAATTGTCTGTTACTCAGCAACAGATAGATAAAACAAAATGTGGCTTGGGAAAGAAGGATTTCTAAATTATCGTGACCATACAGTAACTCCCTGATTTCCAGAAAGTTCAGTGTTTCTGTACTGCGTTTAATTCTGTAAATAACATTTCACCAAAAAAATTAATCACTGATTTTGAAAATATTTCTACAGTATATCAATGTACTTTTCCATCTTTGGAAGAATGATATAATGCCTAAAAGATAATTTTGATTTTGACTCTGACTTATTTCCTGGCCTCAGGTAAATCATCATGATCATCAGTTGTTCTAGAATAATACACCAAATGTAGAACATATTAAGACACTTTATTAAATGTAATTCTTTGAGGATACACTCTATATACATGTTTTTCTATGATTCATGTTTTCCCTACAAGTGACAAAAAAAATTTAACTTACTGCTTAGTTTGCCTTAACAGTTTTAAAGTAAATTAAAAAAATGAAGACTTAAAAAAGTTCAGAAGGAAGGAACTTTGTTCTTCTAAGGAATATATGTACCACCAAAGGTAAACCTGCTAAGCCCTGGAATTTACTGTCATCTCTGAAGGTATGAAAAGCAATACTAAATATTTTGAAATAAAGACTTACTGTTGCCAGATCTAAAGGTGTCTGACCTTCTTGGTTCTTCATAGTTGGATCTGCGCCATGTGCCAGGAGGAGGGCACAAAGCTGTGTCCTGCCTTTTTGGGCTGCTTCGTGAAGGGGAGTAAACGCCCACTTGTCTGTTGCATTCACACATGTGTTATATTTTATCAGCAATGCTGCGATGTCCACATGCTGAAGGAAAACAAAAGGATGCCAAGAGGTAAGAATGAAGTTTTGGGGAAAGCTTCAGGTACACTTGTTTTTATTTAACATTTCATTCCCTATTCTCTATTCTCATCCTTAATAGAAGTTTCTTCTATTAAAAAAAAGATTTATCACACCCTTCTACCTGTACTTTGGAGCCCATCTTTTCTTGCCTCCTCCAAAATCTTAGTTCCACAATTATTCTGTTACCCTGTAATTCTTCATGGGAGGTATAAAAAATTTTATTCGGCTATAACATATTCAGATCTATCTTAAAAACATATAAAGTGAAACTATTACCTGATTCCACATCTCTTAATAATGGGCTAATCTGTCTGCCACACTTTTCAAGCAAGCGTCCTATATCCACGCTTCTCTTATCTTCCCATTTCTCTTTCTAACCCACTGCAACCTGATCTATTTATTGAAACACTCATCTCAAGGATTCTCAATGTTCTTTCTTCAGCCTTTGGGAAAGTAATGTAACATAACAAAAACAGCATTTTACAAAAATTAGTCTGTCATATCCAAAGTGACTTATGGGGTGAATGAAAGGTCAGCAGCAGACACATTAACTAATAACTGGGGCATGAGGCAACGATGTCTTGAACTGTGATGGTTAGAGAAGGATGGAAAGGAAGAGTTGAATCTGAGAATTTTGGAGGGAAAAAAAAACGGGTTTCAGAAAGACAAATTAACTACAGAGGACGAAAGGGGAAAAAAAGTCAAAGACGACTACCTTTTTTCCCCTCCTAATTTGGTCTAGAAGATTAAAAAACAAAGGTGGAAACAGTAACAGAAACTGAGTAGCAGAAGTTTAAATACAAAAGAAACTATAAGAAAGATTAAGGTTCAGTTGGGGTATGTGGTTTTTGAGGAGTTAGAAGGGGAGAGCAGGAGCTGTGGAAAATGGTGAAATAAGTTTATG